TATATATATATCAGACAACTAGCACTCTGTGAAAAGCAAAAAGTAAAACTGCAAATCACTTGGAAAAAAACTCAACTTGTTCAGAAGCAATTGTTTTAAAGGTAACGTTTTCCTTCTTTTAGCTATACTTTGTGTTATAAATGAGTTGAAAATCAAACTTCAATTCACTAAAATCTAAATCTACTGTAAACTATCAGAAAGGGTACAGGTATAAATCTCAGTAAAGGAAAGAGCCACAAATACTTGACTATACTAAAGAAAATATTTCATTTTACTTTTGCTATCTGTACTTTATGTTTCAAACCAAGTATGTTATATATCTACTTAAGCAAAAGCCTGACAGACATAACTAGTAAGCACTATGTTCACATTTTAATTTGGTTTCAAATAGCTCTGGAGTAGGATAATCATATTTTCTTGAAATCCTATTTTTACATCCATCCTTAGAAGCCTACTTTTCCATGCATGATGTTAAAACATGTAGTTATCAGGGCTTTCGAGAGCTATCAGCCGTTGTAATAACAGTAGTGATAGCAGCAAGTGCTGTGGCTCAGGGCACTGACTTATGTATGCCCTGGACACTGTGCAGATCATTTCGACAATCACCTTTTGTGTGACTGTGTACATGTGCATGTGTGCATGCGCACACATGTGTTGAGCACGGTACCCAGGGTCCTGCATGTGCTAGGCAAGTGCTCTACCCAACGAGCTAAGACCCCAGTTCCATTTCTGTATTCTTATCTTCATTTACATGGGACATGTCAGTAGGTGGGTGTTAAAAAAGATTGATACAACTGAGGTTCCTGTAGGTGATTTGGGGGTGGACATAACTAAGTGGAACTCCACTCTGTATTGGACTTCGTGGGCTGGATACTACGATCCTTTCAAGAACTCAATGAGGTAAGTGATACTATATCTGTTGCTCAGATACAGAAACTAAAGATCAAATCGATGAGATAACTTGCCAAAAACACAGATCTGATAATGGAACAGGGAAGTGAATCACATCTTCTTGGCTCTGAAGCCACCTAACTGTCAACATTATGTGTACAGAGCACAGTAATTTCATTTGATAAACTCTCTGAAAATAGATCTATTTGTGAAAACTAGACATAGCTGTAAAAGACTGTAGATAATTATCAAACATTCTCTTGCTACTAACATTAGCAAGAAACTATAATAAGCTTTTATATTCTTTTTCAAAGAAAGAGGGCAAAAAATGATAAGAAATACAAAGGCCTTTGAAAAATAAAATGTACTTAATCATTTACCTGAAAAAGAATCAGGAAATCTACTACAACATTTCATTGTAAAGCATACTTGCAATCACCAGCTAATTCATTCCTCATAACTTTTCTGTGTCAACAGCTACCTGTATTTTGGTTACGGAGAAATAAAGAAGCCACTAGTGTGAAGAACCCATGATGTTGGGTCATGGAGATAGCTCCGCGGTCTAAGTGCCTGCCCAGGCAAGGGCAAAGACCTGGGTTCTGGAACCACAGGCTGTGTGGCCCCGCCCTGGGCACACAGAGCTGGCCACCAAAACTGGGCGTGGCAGTGCACACCTGTAATCCCAGCGCTGGGGAGGCTGAGACAGGAGGATCCCTGAGTCTAAGCTGTGTAGTAAGACCCTGTATGAAAGACATAACATTAAAAAAATAAAAGAACTCAAGCTGTGAAGTGTCTACACAGACTTGTATTAAGTGAATAAATTGCAGTTACACAGATTCAAGCCTTTGAGATTTTAAAAATGTGTTTTCAAGATATTTACATCTGAAAAGTTTTGAAAATTATATGTGAACAAAAAACAACAGTGGGGGCCTCTTTAGGAACCTGGTTTCTGTTTGATTTTTATGAGGCATCCAATCAAAGCTGGAGAGCAGTCCATCTGCACATTAAGGTACTTCAGTTCAGGAAACATTAAGCATCTGCATGACATCAGTTATGAAGACTGCAAAGAACTGAAAGTATGGCCGCTGCTCTGGAGGTGCAAACGTAATCACAAGGGGCAGGGACTGTGTCCAACGCTGCGGGAGCACGTCATTCTGTCCCAGGTTTCCACTTTGAATCGTATGTGCTGTCCAAACTGTTCCTGACCAGCAAAAGCAAAGTTTAAAGGCATATTACCTATCAGTGCTTCAAAACAATTAGCCATTGCATGTCGGAGGTCTGATTCTCTACAAAGGTCGGGGCCATGCGCATACAGCATAAAGCGATCCAGTTCAAGTTTCTAGAATATTCAAAATGACAAAAAGTTAGAGTTTGCCAAAAATCCTAACCATGATGGCTCAGCATCTCCTGAGAATCGGGGCGATGGCCTTGTGTTAGTTTACTAAGAGTCTAACCTACCACTCGTTAGGAATTCTTTACATATGCTTCTCTTCTAACTAACTCCACCCCTTCCCAAACTTCAATGGTTTAATAAAGGTTCATAAAAGGTCAGATCTGAGTTCTCCAAATCCAAGTGCTAGCCAGGATGGGATGAGATTTCCATAAGCCCAGGAGTGCCTCGGTTCATCCAGGGTGCTTAGGAAGACACAAGGCTAACCCGAAGCTTGGAGATTTTCTTCGATTCTAGACTTACAAGATACTGAGTCAGTATCACACAGAACAGATTTTTAAAGGTAGAGTAAATGGTAGAGTAAATCTATTAGAAGATTTCAAAATGCCTTACACCTGTAAAATATTCTTAATCTGGTGAAAATGTGAGGGGATCTTGTATCTGTGCGCTTGTGTCCCCTCCGCAGAGCTTGCAAGCGCACTTTTCTGTGGGCTTAGTGCATCCTTAGCAACGTCTTAAATTTTTCTTACAGGCTTTACAAATAGCATTTGCTGTGAATTACATTTCTTTTTTCTTTTTTGCTATTTGGTCTCAGAAGTTTAGACTCATATTTATGACCCAGAATTAGATGATGGACTTATAAAAACATTAAGTGTACACTAACTTTACCTTTGGTTACATTTCAGCCTTATCCAAATATTTTGCCTTTACTTTGATTTCTATTGCTACTTATTTTTTATACCAATATATAGTTAAATATTAGTCTTTTTAGAACCGGACAAAAGATGTTTTATAAAACTCTTCTCATAAATATACAATAAATCTATTACCATGTGATTGAATGCAGTAAACTCTAAGCTGCATTAGAATTTGATACATTACAATTCACTGCATTAGAATATGCCACGTAATGTGGAAACGTCACAAGTCAGTGAACGACCTAGAACAATGGGTCTTGTCTTCAGGTAAGAGTCAGATTTGGTGTACCTCAGGACATATGCTAATGATCCACACCTATTCATACTAGAAAAAAGACAGAGACAATAAAAACAAGATAGCTATGCTATCAGTATTTTGCGTTGCTAGGAACCCAGGGTGGAAAATATACTCAAATGAGAGTTTTAACTACCATAAATGTAACAGCAGCAAAAACAAACACCTTTTTCAAAAAATTGATCCCAAAGTGTACAAGTTTATACTAGAATATGTAAATTTTCATCTGTTTCATAACTTCACAGGGAAAATCCAATTGTTTGCTATCTCTGGAGCCCTGCTTGAGAGCAGATTTCAAACCACATTTCAGCTTATAAACAGTCATTCTGGAGTGCTGTGAATTTTCCAACTTCTTATACTCCCTAATCTATTATCCTTATTTTCCATGTAGGCATTTGTGGAACTTTGAAAAAGAGAGTGAGGGCCAAGGGTGTAGCGTCACGGTAGTGGGTGCTTAGTATGTGTGGGGTCCTTAGTTCAATTCCCAGCACCAAGGGGAAAGGAGGAGAGAATAACATTCTGCTGTGTACACTTTAAAGTACTCGGGTCTGGACAGCTAACTCACAGCTCTTATGAGACCCTGAGGGCTCAAGAATTTGCGAGCAACCTCCATGCTCAGGTAAGGACTGCTGGCCTGGCCAGAAGGGTGGGCCACCTCGGCCTCCCGCGGGCCACCTCGGCCTTCTGCTGGCGCCAGATGCTCTGGGCACGTCGAGGCTGGGCCTGGTGGGCCGAGACCACAGAGAACGTCTTGAGGGGAGAGTGGGCTCTCCCTCCTGCACGGCTCTGTACTGTACCCAGTGTGCTATGTAATAGCTTCTGTTTTTCTGCTGCGGCAATTTCCCACACTTTGTAAATATCTTCCCTGCTGTCATTTTTGTAAGTGTTTGAAAAATAATTATGCAATTCTACTATACTCTAAACTGAAAAGAAGACAACAGGGGAAAGAGTGACAAGCAGCTTGCTAATGTACACTTCCAATGCATTTATGTGAACCATCAGGAAGCATTTTGACAATTAAATCAACCACACACTAAGGCGTTACCGAGAACTGTGGAATTTCATTCACCGGCAGGTGACTAGACCCAAATGGGCTTACCTTGGTGCCTACAATTTTTCATTAAGGCATCGCTGACTACATTTTCAAATGCCACCAAAGCAGGCTCAAAACTTACTACTGTAACTGTGGTGGTCACAATGTTACACAAAATAAAACAACGCATTCTTAACACAAAAACCAGACTAAACTGAACCACAATTCTGGATATAATTAATGTCTTGGCAAGAGCGTATAAGAGACCACTCATAAAATTAGGGTGAGTTTTACCTAGTCTTTTCAGTTAAATTCCTACTTTTACATCAAAATGTAGGGAAAAAAGAAATTACTTAAGGTGAAATTTAAGAGATGCTCATAAAAGCTTTCTACTGGATCCTCCCTCAGTGTTCAGGGATTTAAGAGCCACAATTCTGCCTACTACTGCATAAACTCTAGGGTCCATAAAGTGTAAGGATTTATCATAAAAAGTTGTAGCAAAAATAAAAACAACTAGTTTCTGCATGTTTATTAACACCTCATGCGGCAACGATGAACAAGTATCATACCAAGTGCCTTAGACAATTCCTAATCTCAATCCTCAGAACCTGCCCAGGAGACAGGGGCTAATGCCACTTCCACTCTGTAGATAAGAAAGCAGAAGCCTGGGAAAGAGAACAAATTGGCTGTGGGCCATCCTGTTTACAGAAAAACATACACGGACTGGAACTCTGTGGGGTCAGCCAAAGTGCCCATCCCATTTCTATAGGACACCACATAGAGATGGAAACTCAAAGCAGACCATGTAAGTAAATCTCCGGCGGGAAACTGAATTAAGAGTTTCCGGATTAAAGGGCCTGCAAGCAGGCGCAGGGGCCAGGGGTCCCCCATGCCGGCCCCGCCCCCGGGGCACACTGAGAGGGCCACTGAGACTGGGCTGGGTGTGGTGGTGTACACCTGTAATCCCAGCTCTTGGTAGGCTGTAAACAGGCAGGTCACTACGAATCTGATCTAGTAGTGAGACCCTGAACACTCTGTAGACCCTTCCCTAATACAAAAAAAAAAAAAAAAAAAAAAATTTCCTCTCGTCACTCCTGAGGTAAGCTGGACGGCAGAAACCCGCAATCTAACTGATGCGACCCATGAGCTGGGGGCCTCTCAAGTACCTATAAAGCACCCCTTGTGGGTAAATTATCTGAAGTACTTTTTTCAAAGCTATAATTCCGGTTGTTTACAGAAATTAATAACAAATGTAATACAGAAATATTACACAAAGGGAAGCTACAAAATCTTTCATTTCTTTTGCTCTGTTCTCGTGTTCCTTTTCCCCACATGTGAACCCTATTCATGTACATCTGTCAAAGTTTTCATTGATTTTCAAGTTACCTCACTGTGGAGTTCATTAGCTACTGGTGAAATTCACAAAGGTAACAGAACTAATAAGGCTGAATCCTTAAAACCCAAATAAAATGCACTTTCTGGTCTGCAAAATATTATATTCTTAATATATTCTAAAGAGTTACTCGGTCAAATGCAGAATTATGTGCAGACTACAGAAGCACAAAGACTTCCGAAGCGTCACATACCTTAGCGAGCATGGCAAGGTGCTGGTTCTGAACTATGGCAGTCCGGTATGTTGCCAACCCTCCTTCCTCCAGACTAGGAAACAAGTAGTACAAATGGACACTGGGGGGAAAAAAAGACCACATGAATAAATACGGATCGCAGAAGTCTACCTGAAGCTCGGGGTCACAGGAATAGGGCTAGCACACCACATCTGCACAGAGAACTGACCCACACTACCGGGCACTGCAAGCTAAATGGTAGGCAAAGTGTATGTGTATGTGCCAAAACCCAAACAGCACGATGGACCCCTCTGTCTGCACTGGTGTCTGTTAAAAGACTTCTCGAGATCTGATAACCACGTAGACCAAAACAATCTGTCATTATGCGTATGTCTATTAAGAACAAACAGATCTGAAACCTGAGCTGGGTCTATAATCAAATGTTTTCCCTTAGGCTGGGTGACAGGTGACCCTGGAGGAGAGTCCTAGAAGCACTGAGCAGGACATGGAGGGCAGCAGACAGGGTCGGGAGCAGAGGCAAGAGCACCACACGGACAGCTCTGCCAGAAGGAGATGAAGACAGGAGCGTGGGCACCGGGCCCAAAGCCACAGGGACACCCAGCCAGACAACAAAGGCAGCTGACCTCCCCCACAGCACAGGCAGTTGTGAGGCCCACCACGGGTCACAGCAGCTGAGCAAGCCCATTTCATCTCAGAGGATCAGGGAATAGCCCTTCTTCCTCCTTGTAAAATGACCTAAAGACAATAAAAATAGCTCAAGATAGTCCTAAGGGAAGCATGTGTTACCTCCCTCTAAAAGAAAGAGCGTGGGAAAACAAAATGCAGTTTCCTACCCCTATCTCCAAAATAAGGATCCAAAAACACATACAGTCACACACATGCATGCACACACCCCAAAATCTAGTCATTAAAACTACTTGTAAGCTTTACTTCTCTTTAGATCAGAAAAAGAAAAGGATCAAAGACAAATCCTCAAAGATGAAATGACATTTTAAAATATCATTCCTTTCTTTTCAAATTGAATATAAACTCTGAAGCACTGACCAAGCCCAGCTGATCTCCTGGGGCTGTGAGCAACTGTAACATGTGCTTGACAGGCCAGAGACACCCGCCTTTCATCCTGTAATCCTGCTCATTACAGAGCAGTCAGTGCAAGTTGTCAGGGCGAGAGCCACAGACACATGGCCTTTAAGCTCTAAGGAAGAGATGAAATCCACGGTGTTTCAGTGCCTTGTTTGGCTAATTACAAAGAAAGTAATGTAATAAGTATGTCACCTACAAAATGGAACTACTGGAGAACTGTGAAAAAACCTACTCACCTGGTCAGGAACTCCACAACAGCATCGCCCAGGAACTCCAACCGTTCATTGTGATTAATTCTAAAATGAGAATTCAAAGGATCACTTAAAATAGCACATTAGCTTCCCTGGCCTTTCTCTTAAGAAAACAAATGAGGGTTAGCTCAAACACCTAACTTGCCTGACTCTTCAAAATCAAGAGCATGACCACTACTCACGGGGGCCACCTAACGGGCACCATGTGGTGCAGGCTTTCTAAGCCAAGGCTTTCTTATCCTAGCAACCGGACCTCAAACATCGGAGACACGCAGAGACAATGCATTATTAGTTGCCCCGGAGAAAGAAGATGGCACTCTTGAGAGTCTCAGCTGACCCCTGACAAGGGAGTTTTGCTGTCACATGGTCAAGATGGCTTCCCCTCACCTAAACTTGAAAGCAGTCTCTAAAGTCCCCACAACAGGCCTCATGAACACTACTATGTCATTTCCCACTATGGGTAGAGCTCTTACTCCAAACTAACAGGTGCTCTTGGAAAAAGGAATCTCCTAAAACACTTGTACCTCTCCTGAGGCCAGGTACTCTGCTGTCCTAGAACTTTACACTCTCCATCCCCGCTACACAGATCACACTGAAAACCGACTCACTCCTCAAGCCGCGGGAGAATATTACTTTCTCTGTGGAGCCCAGCTGATGAGCATCCTCACACTACAGTGCTTGTCCCTCAGCACAGATTGCGCTGCTTTATGTCTTAATTGTAGGGGGAAGAACTCACATCTCAAAGCAGCTAGCTTCACATGTCCAAGTACAAGGCCAAAACTATGGGGCAGACCACCATGGAAAAGTTGTCTCTCAACAAATTCAAGGCAGCGGTCTCCTCGCAGTGCTAACACACTTCTCTTACAGTCTCTGGTTGAGCAGACATGACAGGATCTAATTCAGCTTTGTGAAAGGCCAGAGTAGCTGCTATACAGAGAAAGAGTGCAAGAAAGGGAAGCCCTGAGGGAGATCTACAAGCGCGGTGCCTGTGCCAGGGAGGCGACAGTGGAGAAGGAGGGAATGGTTAGATCTGGGATGCACAGCGGAGAGACAGAAAAGAACTGCTGATACTGGGCTACTGGGGTCTGGAAGCACTAAAGAAGAAAGCAAAAATCTACACTCAAGCTTTAGCAGCTGGATGACTCGTGGTGCCCGTTACTATGAGGGAAAGACCTGAAGTACTGCAGGCCTGAGGGACATTTCCGACACTCAGAAATGCCCACAGCAGAGGCACATGGGTATCCCATGAAGTACCTGGGATATGAACCCACTCTACACAGGCAAGCGGGGCAAAGTTAGGAGCGGCCAACATTTTGAAAGGACTTCAGGTGATAAAACTAGATGATATGATTCAGAGAGAGGATGCAGCTATGGAAAGGAAGGGTCCCACTGTGGCAGGACAGTGTCACACTTTACGCCGAACAGAAGGAAGCAGCAAGAGAGAGGGGCTACCAGGAAGTTGGGAGGAAAGAGGCCATGTGGTATCCTCTGAGCGGTGAGAGGAATGTGTTTCTCACAGATGGCAGGCTGCCCTCGATGATGCACACATTCCAGTCGGAGGGGTGCAGAGCACCAATTCAAAGATAAGGAAGTTGCCGAGGCCCTCAATGAGCAATCTGTGCAGGCGGAGACACCCAACTCGGACAAGTAGGCTGGGAAATAAGCTGAATATGGAAAGGACCTGAGTGGCTGTCCCAGCAGGCCGCGAGGAGTGAAGAAATGGGCAGGGGGGTCAAAGCGGGTGGCACAAATGAGACAATGACAGTACTGAGGGGGTGAGAAGGGCACATAGGGGCCCTAGGACCCGAGCCAAGAAGGCCCAGGCCTGATCAGAAGCTGGCAATCCTGACCCCGGGGCTTCCCCAATTGTATGATTATGTCAGTAAGTCCCCCAAAGCCCCTGCACCCAATGGTGGGGCTTTTGAAAAGTGACTGAATTCTGGGGAGTCTGGCTGGCTTGCTGCGGGTAGGCTCTGGTCAGATGAAGCAGGAGGCTGGGACTGGCCTGGGAGGGCTTCTTGCTCTCCCCAGCTCCTGTGAGCCATGCCCAAGCAGCACCCCAGCATGCCGCCCTGCCCAGGAGCCAGCCAGCCACACAAGGACTGAAGCCACTGCAGTGGGCCCAAATACGGCACCCTCCTCCAAGCTGCGGGTATCAGCCTTGCGTCTCAGCAACCAAACAGTAAGGCAGACACCTGGGAAGCTGACAGCCCTTGGCTTCACAGAAAACACAACAGCTGACTATCGAATCTACACTCGCTTGCACCTCCATTCCCGAGAATAAGAGGGCTAGCACTGAGTTTAGGCCAAAATTAGACACTGCCTCTTATTGTTCTGTTTCATGTGTGCCAGTGCAGTTTCCATATTTAAATTCTCCCTCATTTTAGCACAGTAGAATCTTTAAAACACTTGCATATTAAATAGCTCCTGCCTACCAAATCATCTACTTGGGAATCAGAGTACAACTTTACACCATTTCGCTTATCTCAACAGTAAGCTTATTTTTCCACCCTTCTATCTTTACATTTTTGAATTTTAAAAGGAAAAAAAAAAAAAAAGGTAATAGGAAAAATCTGGAAAGATATAAACAAAGTGATTTAAACCTCATTTCAGTTTATAGTCTTTATATAAAAAAGTTTTTTAGGAAAGCAATTAATTAACCAACAAACCAACAAGAGAAATGAAAACGAAAGTGAAAAAGTCAAAACACATTGAATTTATGACTCTGCTGAAGGATTCATATTCTAAACAATATATTTTTTTTAAAAGGCGATAGGGGCTAGGGATATAGCTTAGTGGTAGAGCTCTTGCACAGCATGTTGAAGGACCTACATTCCGTCCCCAAAGTACACACACACACACACACACACACACACACACACACGGCTCTGTCCTGAACTATACACCAATTTTTTTTCCATTCTTACTGAATATACACCAGATTTTATTGTTGCCGTTCCACCAGTCAAGGGTAACTGAAAAGGACCATGGTAAAGTACAAAATGTATTTATTAAAAAATATTTTAGAGGCTACTCAGATTTTACTTCTGTTGGATACATCTGAACTCCAACAATTATTCTCAGAAATGACAAAAAGGTGTAAAGGCGCTCTTTTATTGTAACCCACAGCTCCTCTTGCTAATCCCAAGAAACCTAGTACATTATTGTCCTAAGAAAGGATAAAATACTAAGAAAGGTAAGATTTTAAAGAGAGCAAGTATTATTTTTATGAGTCATTAAAATAAAAACAATTTGGATGGCGGAGACTATTGTCTTCCTAATAGTTCCAAGTACTACATAGGGAAATCTAGTTAACGTGAAAGCAAGAAACCTTGGCAAGAGTCTGGGAGAGGGGGAACAAACCACATCTGGCTTGTCCTGTGCCTTATTAATGAATCATAAGGTATCTAGTCAAAGAATAAGAGCTGCTTTAAGTCAATACTATTTTAAATAAAGTCATCCTGGCAAAAGATTTACCTTAATTTCTTTTATAAACATTCATGGAGACAAAACTATGTCTAGCACTTTAATGACCACGAAGTTGGCTGTTGTTCAGTATGTTAAAACACAAGGTCACGGTTCTAGACAGGTTTATTTGATAGTGAATCTGCCACTTACTAAATAATCTGCCCATATCCAGTGTGTTTCTCTGTATTTACATGATGACTACAAAGCAAAATGGGCTCAGAGTCCACTTTAGCTTATTAGTAGAGCACACTGTCTGGACAAGTGCACAGGATGAGCTGCCAGTTCTCCCAGCATGCACATCTTTTGCCCCTTCCCTGCCGTCTATACTTTCTTTATAAAACTAGCAAGCTCCAAACTGAGATGTTTACTGAGCAGTAAACATGCCATTTGTTTTTGAGAAATGAATCAACAGAGACATTATGAAATCTAGATTAACTGTTACATTTATAGAGCCAATTTTCTCTAAGGGATCCAACATACTTGATGAAACTAACAATCTCCCTGTAAAAGTTTAGGACTGTCAGGTGCCTTTTACTACATGGAAAGCCATCTTGGCACGGGCCAGTCTAATGGTGACTGGTGGAGTGACAGTACAGGCAGCATTTTATCACCGGAGAATTCACAGCCCAGTTTTACAGACAGCTATGCGGGGCCTCAGAAATTAGGCGAATCTTCTACTCAGTTTAGAAAATCCTTCTCATCACCTCTACTTGAATATTTGCAAGGAAAGGCTAATGTCCCACCAGATCTCAGACTCACTGGACTGTTGGACCCCATGTAAACTATCTCTGGGCTTTAACTTGAAGCATTTAAATCAGTAAGCCTACTCAGCAGGCTTATGTATGCTCAGTGCATGTTATTATTGTCCTGTTATGCAAAATCCTATGTATAACTGACTAGAAATACATAGTTAGCCCTCAGTATCCATGACATATTCACCTGTGAATTCCACCAGCTTATCAAAAATAATTTTTCAAGTAAGCTTCATCTGTACTAATAAGTACATGTTTCTCATCATTATCCCTTAAAAAACAGATCACTTATGTGGCATTTACAATGTATTCAGAATTATAATCCAGAGATGACCTAAAGGAGGACATGTGAAGCTGCACACAAATACCACAGCATTTACAGATGGGCCACCACAGACAGGAGCCATAGTTCACATACGCCGGGCTCTTGGTCCAGCAGACATTCGTGCATTATGTCTTGAAAGGATCACCAATCCAAAACAAAAGCAAAGCACCCCAAGCCTGCGTCATCTTCTCATTTTTCTATTACGACTCTCTTCTGGCTCCTCCGCCCCAAAGGTCTGCCTGCATCACCCTGAACGTCACCAAATACCCAACCCTTCAGAGCCCCTGCTGGTGGAAATGCTTCATCACACTTGCCCGTGTTCACTACAACTAAATGCCTGAGATGCGTGTGGCCAGGAGCCACAGAGGAAAGAAAGACGGGCCTGGAAAAGTGACCTGGGGCCAGTTCATGCGAGCTGGGAAGGCCCAGTGGGTGGTGCAGCCTTCATTCATAGATGGAGGTTTTTAAACAGCCAGGCACCCTAACATAATCAGTGCAGA